TAAGACTTACACTTTCCACAGAAATATTGACAGAAATAATGGCTTAATTTTAAAGTAGTTCAGCATTAGAGCATCCTGGTGCCTATTGAGCGTTTTCACTCACATGGCCTATACACATGCAAATTTATTGACACAAAAGGAAGTGTTTACATAAGAAAAGAGTTCAACTCCCACAGGATTGGTTTGGTACACCAAATTGGCCGCCGTTTCATAATATGGCTGCCATGACGATGTGAAAACGCCCTATATTCATGTTGTTAGTGATACGACTCGCAAGCTCACTTAAAGCGTTATGAATAAAACGTATTACTAAACTGATCATAACATTTAAGCTATGATCAGTTTAGCAATATGTTTTATTTACAGCTTAAAAGTTAGAAGTCGTTCTTGTCCTCTTTTGACTGTACTGAGTTACCTGAATTATCCAAGCATCTGTAGTGAGGACCTGATTTTTGATGTCCTAAAACAAAAAGAAAGAGGATGAGAACTGGTCCACTTGTGATTGAATGTATCAGAAAGGTTACAGTGAAAAATGGCCAAGGGTAACATTGACGTGGGAGATAACTTAAATGGCCATATGTTCGTGTGAACAGCACGTGAATTAGTCGCGGCAACATGTTGTTGTGGTATTCACTTCTCGTGTGAACCGAACTACGGAGGTCATACAAGGCTTATCCTGCCAACTGGAAAAAAATTATGAGGGTCGGGACCTTGTGACTTCTTTGCCCGTCCCGTGTTCTCTGCCCTTACCGTATTTAAAGAAAGAAAGACAAGGTATCAGGGTATACCACAGACTTACCAAATCGACAATCCTTCCAAGCTTGTAATCAAAAGTGATGTTGATGACGTCACCAGGCTTGATCACGGGCCGAACGTCATGATGGTAACTGTTTGAAAGGTCTTGACGTAATCTTTGTTCTGGAGTTCCAAGAGTAGCCGTTACAGAATCTATAATTTCGGAAAAATTTTAGTATTACTACTGTAGGGGAGAATTAAGGAACGCTACGTGTGCAAGATTCATGATTCATGATGAGGCACATGATCTCTGGGTTGCAGCAGAAGGTTCCACAAAATTTAGAATTGTTAAGAGATTTTAAGATTTTAATAAAGGGGTTAGAAAGGATGGGGAATTGATTTGTGGATTTGAGGTAAGTAAGTAAGTAACCTTTATTTAAACACGGTAAGTAATTAAGCTCAAGGTCAATGGGGAAAATCAAAATTAATCGAGAATTTAAAGTCAAATTGCAATTATTGTTTAATAATTGATAAATGAATAGCAAAAAGGACTACGGCCTAATTAACCCAAAGTGCTCAGTACAGGACCTCAGCACTACCTGGTCCTTAGAGGTCATCCCACTTCTTCCAAACTTCAAGGGAAAAGGCCTGGGAATTGATTGCTAAAGTTCATGTAGTTAGTCCTTAAATAAACAGGTTTCTTGGTAGGATCATGAACACCTAGAGGGCTTCAAGGTGAAAAGTAAATCGGTGACATTGTAATAATGTGTAATAATTATATAACCGTGAGTAGAGTACTTGGCTCACCGTAAGGGTGCCATTTAGCACACTTCCGTCCAATGTAATTAAGTCTCCCCTGCCCATCCCCACCATTGAAATGACCGCTTCCTAAATTTATTAGAGTTAGGGGTCTGTTTTGTTTCTCTTGAGGCCCCATTAGGGGGCCCTGAGTATGCCATATCTCGATATGTTCCAATATCAAAATTTAGCAATTTTTCTATTCGACATCACGGGATATCTATTCTAAATATCCCATATTCCATTAATTTTTCCCCAAATACCCTGTTTTCCGTTAATTGTTAACCTGAAGACCCTTATATGGGGCTGCTCTCTTCATACAGGCGTAATCAAACTGTCAACTTAAGCTGGCTTAGTGTCGCATTCAATGCTACAGGTGCGATCTTCGGGTGAAGAAAATTTAAAAAGGATGCGACCATTAATTATGTTAGCCGCTCCACGATCTAAGATGCTGATGTTAAACAGACAGCAAGTGCATAAAATCGACTGATGATAGTGAGATAATTGAGTGATGATTTTTCGTTGAGACGGCAAGACTAATTGCTGCGTGATACATTTGATATTCTGCTCCGGGGGTTCTTGCATAGCTGATCATTCAAGCCTCGACAATTAAGCCGCGATAAAAACGAAATCATCACTGGGCTAGACAAATTAAAATAAGTTACAAAATACTAAAGACACAAAAATACAAAAAGGGTCAAAAAGCAACAAGGTCCAACAACAACGCTGATCTGGTCGACCGAAACAGCGGTTTCTCGCTTGAGAGGAAATGATACAAAGCAGGCCAATATGTTTTGAAGTGCCGCCGATTGATAATGACAGGAGGTGTGAAGACTCTGAAATTATTACAACGCTTTGGCGGTTTGCCTTCCATAAAATGGATGAAATCGCAGCAGAAGAGGCCGATCGAGCAACGTTTGAAAGAAAGGTACAAGCCATCGTTCAACAAAGCGACGAGAATTTCGACGAGAGCCAGATTTTCTCGACAATCGGAACATTAGAGGAAGGGCTACGTCATGTTATGAATGAAGTTCATGGGTTACATAGCGAGCTGCAGGGCATTGAGAAGAATGCTAAAGACCTAAAGAAACGAATGGATAAATGTTCCAAGCTCGCAAGAAGTAGTACGGAGTAAGGAAGACTCGATTTTAGATGGCAAGGTAATTTCTACCACGTTGATAAGACTGTATGCGCAGTGAAGTTGCTATATTACTGCCAAGTCCAACACGGCCGAGAATCAAAATCTCTGCTAAGTTGAGAGAATTAAAATCAAAAGGAATGGAAACGATTTTATAATCCGTCGACGCCACGACTGCTGTTTATTTTCCATGAACGATAAAGTAAGGTGATTGAAATGACATGAAATTACAAGATGATTTGAGGAAAATGTGAACAAACTGATAAAGCGCTGTATATGTGAAATGCTGTTATATGTAAATCTCTGTGGGTGTTCTTTGGCAAAACGTTGTTTATGCGCGCAAGCAGTTATACCGAGACATCACCACAGTCTACGTGAACTGTATTTAGCAAGTCTATTAAAATCCCTATGTTTTGCTGTACTTTAAACGTGTAATAAATGAGAAATTTTAAATATCAATCCCATGTACGTAATTTAGTATGCCTACGGGCTATTATTCAAATGAATTGGATCCTTGGTTAAATATCGATTGCTGATGAGCACAAGAAAGGATTTGACGAGTTTTTTTAAGTCGAAAATATTTGCTTTCGTAATCCGAAGGGTACTTACAATGATCACGCAAACTGCCGGGTCAAAAGTTGACATTTTCTGCGCAAAAGGAGAAGCTTTCTTCGTAAGGAAAGTAAAACAGGCAAGATTTTTTCCGCGAATTTCAAAGCGGACAAAGCCAATAGACCATTTCCGAGTTACTCTTGTGCCTCTTTTTCAAAACGAGTCCACGTGCAAAACCTATCATACGAAAAGAAGTTTGGTTTGCAAGAAAATGAAGCTCTTGGCGGAAGACATTTTCATACATGAATGATTCGTTTTGACACAGAGGCCAAAGCCAACTCGAAAATGGCCTATTTCTTCAAGTTTATGTTTCGAGCCTGATTGCAGCGATTTTACGCATGCGCATCCGCCCCTCGGCTCACCCTTGAATTTCTGACCGCCCGCAGCAGAGCAACCTCGGTAAGCTAACTAAGACCTACATTTTCTTGTACACTAATTTGAGTCGTTCAAACATGTTGAGGGCTTATTAACCTGCGATCATACCGATCCAAAGACTTATGAAACTACCGACCACCCACATTTGGAGAGGGGTGTCGAATCGTCGGTGAGTTAGGCCCAGTTCAGACGTCGTGCTTCTGCCGTGCCGAACTAAATTCAGGAATTAAGTTCGACAAAAGCACGGCAGAAGCACGGCGTCTGAATCA